TGATCTTCTTAAAAATGTAATACAAAGCTAATCTGTTATACAGATAGCGCAAAATAAAGATCTAAGCTAAAAGAGATCTAAAGAAAGATAACCCAATCAAAATTGTTACATTAATTTTGATACTAATTATTTATTAATGATCTTGAAGCATTATAAAATATTACAGAAATATTACAAAGATATTGTTGAATTATAATTGAATCCATAACTGATATATCAATTATATTATTCTAAATTATATGTCTTCTAAAGATTGATTAATTGGTCTAATTTTCCAAGTTTGAAAATTATGAAATTAAAGAAATTTATGTTATTATAACAATACTATCAAGTATAAGATTATTTTATTAATAATTATAAACAAGATAAAATATAATATGAATAGTTTCAATTTATAAAACTTATAATTTTTATTATTTGAATAGTATTTAGATCTGAAGTTAATTTACAGAACAAATAGAATTTATTTATAAGAAAGAAATGAATATAAATTATAAATAAATTAATAATGATTTTATAATTAAAATATATATAATTTGATAAAATTAATTAACTTAATTTGCATCTCCAGAGAATAACTAATTATAATTTAATAAATTGTAAATATGATAAATAATAATTATAAATAATAATAAAAAGAATGAGTAAAATTATAAAGAATATTAATTATAAATACTAATAAAAATATTAATAATCTAAATCAATAATAAGACTTAAAAGAAAATATATGAAATACTTGCTATATTATTATATATAGTATAAAATATAATATATTAATCATTTAAAAAATGAAAATTAGAATTAGAATTGAATCAATATTATTTAATAATACTGATTTGACTTATATTAGCTGATTATAAATCAAAAATTATATAATTATATAATATAATATTGAATACTACTAATGTAATATATAATTTTTATATAATTTCTAAATTTCTGAATTTTAATATTTCTCAAAATAATTTTAATAAGTATTTTTAATCTGATTAAATAATTTAATAAAACTGATTTTAATAAATAATTCTTCTAAAATAATTTTTCAATATTTCATTTTTATAAGAAATTAATAGATTTAATAATATATAACTTTCATTTTTAAATATGAACTTCTTGCTAATTTCTAAAGCTCAATTTTCATAACAAGTTTGAATTTGATTTGAAATCAAATTTAAACTCAAAACAAATTTAAAATTTGAATTCAGTTTGAATTCAAATATAAGTGACTTGGTAATTCTAAGTAAAACTATAAAGCTTAATTAAAACTATAAAAACTGTATAATATATTCTAAAATAAAAATTACTATTTATGAAAATAAATTTTTAATTTGTCATTTTTAAAAAATATTCTACATTTTCATAAATAATAATTTTTATTATAAATATTTTGTGCTTATAATTAAGTATTACAAATTTAATTAGCAATGTTTAATATTTAATATAAAGAAATGAATGATTTTATTAAAAAAAATTATTAATTTCTGATTTTAAATTATTTTTTATTCTTAATAAAAACATACATTTTTACATTTAAAATCAATCTAAAAATACTAAGTTAATTGTTGATGCTACAAAATTATATATGATACTTTATAATAAAAAAGTTTATTTATGGAAATATAGAGCATTAATAATAAAATTTAAAAAATTTTAGTTTGCTCTAATTAAAGTTAAAATTTCAAATAGAAAACTAATTTTGTGCTTCGTAGTAAAATTGTAGTCCTAATCCAGTGTTCGAGTTCGATTCAATTCGAAATCGAATTGAACTCGAGCTGCTGAACTTTTTTTGGACACTGCTCAAAAGGATGAATATAATATATATCGTGTCAGGATACTCATTTCCAAATGGCATCTAATAAGCATGCACTAAATTTGACCTTAAATAAATATATGGATAAATTCATAACATTGCGAAGAAAATATAGTATTCATACTATCTTTTTTCTGCCTGTGATTTAAAAAATTACTTTACTTGAATTTACAAAGCTATAGGTAAATATAAATTACGAATTTTACATGGCCTTTTAACTTCAAAAGTGGTCAATTTACGGATTAAATAAAAAATTTCGAGTGTACAAATAACGATAACGGTAACCATATAATTACATAAATTTCTCACATATCCAATTCAAATGTGCTCGTATAGTATTGTCCAGTTTGCTTATTTCTCGCACTTGCCTCAATCTCCATCGTTCCAAAAGTTAGCTCAAACTCAATTGGTCTATTAGTACCAAGATGAACATCTGGTAAATCGATTTTCAATATGCCTAGTAAACGAACACTACCCTCGTCGCAATAACGAGCTCGGTCATTACGCGTCGCGAATACTTTAAATGTGGCCGCGGTTTGATTATTATAGACGGGGAAAAATTCGCGTGAAACTTTTGCATTGACATCAACTAGGGTACCGCGTTTTATTAAGGGACTGAATCGGTAAACACGTCCATCCTTGGTTGCTCGTTTCTTTTTATCGAATCCGGGTTTGAATACGTCGAGGATCTCGATCCCGTATGTATATATTAGTCTACGGCTTTGTACTGTGTCCATATTAAGTCCTAAACAATAAAGAAGAAAGATGCAATTGAATTATAATTTTTAAGCAGATCTATCCCTAAAACAACATTAATCCCGAATTATTACCATAAGACACTGCACCACGAACAACAGCAGCAATCGGACAAGGCGGAACAGCGATTACACTAATTTTCTCACTAAACAATTGTCTAATCTTTTTTATTAAATAAGGTGACTCACTAAATCCGCCAACAAGAAAAAGAGCATTACACTCTCGTTTTGATTCATCCAACTGTCGTTCAATTAAATCGATAATACGTTCCACCACAGGATCAAACATCCCTTTCACATCATCAAACGTTATTGGAATCAACCAATCGTCCTTCTCCATCTGTTTCTTCCTCTCTTCGTCCACATATTCTTGCACAGCCGGACAATAATATGGAACATCAAGTTCAATTGTGTAAAATGACGTGCTCTCGCCTTCGAATGGACATTTGACGCGAGAGCAGAAAAATTTTTGAATTAAATATTGCATTTGTTTATAATTGTTTTTCTTCAGTTTTTCAATAGCGCTGTAGCCAAGTTTTCTCACCAGGAACCTCGTGAATTCGCGATCGATAAATGTCGAGCCGCATAAATCGCTAGATCGTTCAGTGATTTCGCTTAATTTGTTGTTTTCTAGTAATTGTCTTATGGTTATGTCGACTGTGCCCCCGCCACAATCAACCACCATAAAATTTGCTAAACATATACGCACTATTTAATAATAGTAAAACAATGATACGTATAATTTAAAAAATGTAAATTACCTCCTGGCTCTAGATTATGCTCTTTTAATACAGACATGCAGTGTATAGCAGCAGCTTCAGCTATTTATTTAAACACACATTGAGATTTAATTTTCTATAACAAAACTCAAAAAATAAATTCAAAAACATACGTTCTGTTGTAAAATCTAAATTTCGTGAATTGATATTATCCAATAATCCAGCCTTATAGGCCGCCTGTCGTAGCACGTTTCTTGTATTTTCTAAGTATAATATTAAATTAAAGATCTAATTTTAAAATGGAGAAGAAGCTTAAACTTGCTTTACCATGCCACTCCGCTGGTACAGTCAAAATTAGCTTAATTTGTTGCGGAAATTCTAACCCTGGCCAACGAGTTTGCACTTTTTCCTTAATCAACTAATCATATTCATATCGATTAGAATAAAGAAGAATAAATAAAATAATATTCAGAAAAACAAAAACTAAGTCGAGTACATATATGTACCTTTTGCATTTCTGTTAAATAATCAGTTATCGCTTTTACATGATTTAAGCTCGCGGGAAGCCAAGGTTTTTCATAAGATTTCAAAGAAGACAAATGCAATTTAAACAATTCTATCGGATGAGATTCTGCCCTTTGATTAGCCCGACTTCTTCTTACGGGCTCTTCAACGAGGGCTAATTGACCCCATTGCAATACATTCCAATTTTCGTCATATTGCAAAACCGTAGGAGTCTTAAAATGGTCGAGATGGCCAGGCCTTATATAATGTTAATGATTGTTTTATCTCAAATTTTAAATTTAATTTTTGATTTTTATTTACCATTTATTATTTGTCTCAATCTCTGGATTCTTTATATTTGCGACAGCAAAAGTACTATAAGTAACACCGAAATCTGGCGTTGATAGGAAGAAACAACATGTTTGTTAAAATATCATAATGAACTCATATTATATTAGCAAAGTATATTAAATACCAAGTGCGACAACAATTCGAATATCTTTTAATGATGCTGTTGCTTCTGATGCCATATTCACAAGGTATATTATTATTGCTAGTAGAAAAAGATAAACTTTGCTTTTAAACAAAAATCCGCAAATATGCACAAAAATTCAAAAACCAGAATTAATTCTTGTTTTCGGAGGGAGTAATTTTCTATTACGCCATAACCGATACATGTACAATAATTGTATACAAAAAACAAGGAGGAACAACAATTGATTTCCGAATTCTTCTAAGCAAAATAGGAAACTTTTTTCTAAGCCTATTACTATAAAGGGAACAAAACACAAAGTGAATATATTAATCGAGTTTATATCAAGTTAAATGCAGTTCATATCGATATACGTGACATGACAATAGGATAGATACATGATAAACTCTTATATAAAGAAACTAGTTTATTCTAAACTTAATAATTTCTTTTCCTTCAATTACTGCGCGTAATGACGCAAACTGCTCAAAATGAAGAGGTTCTAGCTTCTAAAACTGAAGTAAACGGGCAAAAAAATGTCTCCGACATAAATGAAAATGATAATGATTCTCAATCTAAAGTATTACCGGTAGAAGTAAAAGAACCGCAAGGCAAACCAGAACTCGACAATAATCGTCGTAATTCGTCTCATTCATCAAAATCCAGTAATCACGATCACTATCGCATTATTTTCGAGACAATTGGGAAAGCGCGAAAATGGGATGATTTTGTATTGCTATTCATTCTTATCGCGGACGTCCATAGACAGTTTGACTTTAGTCAAACAGCACAAATATTAGACAATCTCACTGAATATTATGAAGGAAGAGTAATTGACTATAAAATATTCAAAGAAGTTAAGAGTATTCTAGTGGATTACAAATATGCAAGAAAAGAGAATGATGAACCTGAACGGGAAAAAATCAGGAAATTTATCTTTGAGAGTTTACGACTCTTTGAAAATGAAACAAACGATTGGGATACATTCCAGAACCTAGTGCGTGAGTTAGATGATGATGAGCAACGCAGGTTGCGTTGGATATGTGTTAATCAAATTCCCACATTGCTTCATTTCGCCGGCAGTATAAGAAAAAGTTTTCCTGGCGGTCGGTCTGCTTTTTATAGTTGGATGAATAACAACAATAATTTTGCTGATAATGATAAGATAACAAATGATAAGGTAACAACAGAAGATTACAACAATAATTCTCAAACTACGCTTCAAGCAATGCAAAGTAAACACGATAAATCTCTGAAGGAAACAAAAAAAAAACTCGCAAATGCAGAATTGAAAATCGAGCGTCTTGAAAAGCAACTCAGAACTTTGACGAAAGAAGCATCAGAACATCAAGCAGCACTGGGCAGAATTACGAATGTCGATTGGAAAGATGATGATCCAAACAATTCGGTACAACTTTCAAAAGATATTGAAAACTTGCAAAATTTATTGCTTGAATTTACTAGCGTAAAAGGTAGCAATTATCAACTCGATATGAATGCGGCGAGAAATTTTTTGCATGGTTACAAATGCAATATCGAAATGTATGCGTCACCTCTTGATTTAAAAACGGCAGTGAGCGCAGCATTGCAACGACACGCAATTCAAATAATATTAGATGAAATAAAAACCTATCTCGCAAAGTCGAATCAACTAGTTCAAGAATCTTCGGATGACCAGAAATTAGAGATTGATATAGTTTCTAAAACCGATGAATTGAGCCATCTTATCGAAAATTTTTCGGAAAAACGTCCGGGAGACGACAAGTTTACTCCATTGGCTCCAGCTAAACTCCGACAACAAGTGTTCGCAATTCTTGGATCACGTGCATTTTCAATTACCTCCCATCCATTTATCGAATCGCTCACGAGTAACTTGATCAATTTTATGAACCAATTCCGACAAGTGAAATCAGAAGAGTTGAGTAGAGGATTGCCTGCTCGCGCAACTCAAATTATTCGGGAGATCATTTGTTTGTTTGAATTTAGATTAAAAACTCAACCACAAGTGCCTGATATAGTATTTTATGATGCGGGTACACCTTTGAATCCTTTACTAATGGAAGGATCATGGGATAGTACAGAGGGTGTTGTTGATATTTGTTCCTTCCCGGTTATTGGTATAAACCTTGATAAACCAAATCCACACATTTTTTGTAAAGCTAGGGTGCTGTCACGAGAAAAATAACTTTTTGGGGGCAAAATGTAGCTAAATTCAAGTTAATCAAACATATAACTTATATTTTCAATAAAATATTGTAGAAATCGATTATTCCCAATAAATTGTTATTAATGGAATGAAAAAAAAAGATGATACAAAACTCATCAGCATCAGACATTTAATAAAATACAATGAATATATAAAATGTTAAATAACGATAATATTATTCAATCGTCATCACCCTCGTCATCGCGTAATGTAGACTTTGGACGTGTGATAATTCTAGCTTTAGTAAACACTCGTCGATCTTTGGATCCAAGATTGATTCCAATCGCAGGGAAATAACAAATTTCCACTTCATATTTTTGAATATTCTCCCAGGTCCCCTCCATTAATTCGGCATCTAATGGGTGACCAGAGGGGAAGAATCGAAATTCGGGAATAGTCGGTTGAGCTTTAAGTCGAAAGAAGAATAAATGAATCACTTCAAGAACCAGTTCGATCGCTTCATTCGGTAATTCTTGTTTCTTTTGTTCGTCAAGAAGTTCACGATAGAAATCCATAATAGAGATTATTTTCCCAATGAGGTAACTGATAAATGGATGTGTTTGGTCATTAAATGCTCGAGATCCAAGCGCTGCGTATACATATTGGCGTACTTTTATTGGTGCAATTGGCGTAAAATTGTCAGTTCCGCTTCGAATTTCCGTTAATCTACTCATTAGCCTGATTAGCTCATTGGTGTTCGAGATAATATCTATTTCGAGATTGTTGTTGTGATGATTGTTGTCATAGGCTTGATTTTGCGGTAGTTCGAACGGTTCCTGAACTAAAAAGCCAGAGCCACCAACCCATTCTTCTTCTGCGTCAATCCATTCTTGTGCATCAGTATCTTTGTTATTGGAAATTTTATAATTATACTTGGTATTTGTTGAAGAATATGACGATGATGATGACGACGATGATGATTTATTAGCTCTGGATAAGTAAACTTTGACATGATTTATAATTGTTTCGAGTATTTTAAGTTGTAATGCCGCAGCAAGCAGTAATTTACCACCAAATTTACTACCACGTTTCTCGTTAGCGTCAGTTCTACAATTATAACTTGCGAGAAGTTGATTGGCAGCATCCTCACGAATTTTCACGCCACTTCCTTTTACTTTAGTGAAACTTCCAAGTGTATGCACTAGTTTCTCAATGTCATCACTCAAATTCACCGCGTTATTCTGATCATCGTCGCGCCATCGAACGTTTATAGCATTTCCAAGCGCGGCTTGATAATTTGATGCTTCTTCTTGGTAGCGAGCTGCCTGATCTTGTAATGCATCGATTTTCTCATCTGATTGTGAAACTAAATCCGTTAATTTTTTATTTTTTTTTTGAAGTTCGAGAATTGTATTCTTTAAATCCATCATTTCTAATCGGTCGGAAGAGAAACGACGAGTTTGCTGTGGTTTAGCGATTTTGTCTTTTGCTGATGATGACCCATCTTCATCTCCACCATCATTATCATCACCGTCAACTTTCGTGGGGAAAGTATTAATCGTAACACTAGTACTATTTTCACCTGGTTCATCATTATTATTATTATTATTATTATTATTATTATTATTATTCTCATTGTCATTCGATGATTGTCGTTCCAAAACACAGCGTTGCACATGACCAGAAAAGATAGCAAACGACTGCATTCTTTTAATAAGCAAATTACGTATTCTAGTACGTTGATCACTTGACAGCCGACGTAATTGATCGCGGAGTAGTTTTACCTCCTCATGTAATTCGGAAGGGCGAACACCAATCTGCAAATACGCGTAATCTAACGTCTGTTTCCTCAACTCTTCTTCAAAACTTCGATTTCGAAAAAACTTCGCAAAATTCTCCAACGAGCTAATCACTTGATTGTATTGATATTGTGTTGCCCCGCCATTCACAAATAATTCAGTCAGATGTTCTTCCACTTTTTCATATTCTTGTCCGAATTTATGTCCGCCGCGAAAATCATTATTCCTGTCGAAATCCCATACGATTAAGAGCAGGTAAACGTAGTTTGTCCAACGATTCCTGTTTCCCACCCATTCTAGCAAATCAAAGATCTCATCGTTTGATAGACTGTTGGTTCTTTTGAGTCCACCACCGAAATTTGGGAATGAAAAGTTTTTGTGACCGTAATTAGCGTTATTGTTGTAATAACTCATATTTTCGCTTGTCGTACCTCAATTGTTTATGCGAGAAAAAAGATGCAAAGGATAAAGATGAAAAAATGATTTTTACACCATTATTCTGTTTTGGTGTACAGAATAATTGTGTGTCATAAGCCAACTATATCGATATACACCCTTTTCACATTTCGGGGGTGTTTTAAATCGTAAATGGAAATAGGATTATGCTCCTTTTTTGCGTTACAATAGAACACAGACCCAATTTCCTTTCTTAAAATTAGACTATTAAAACAAGTGTTAGATTTATAAGAGTGTGTGTGGGTATGTGTTAAGTGCAAAAATATGTCTGATTCTGATATACGCGCTGTGGTGGCCATTGGTAAGTGAGAAACCTAATTTATTAAATTTATAACAATTTTTATTTTTTATTTTTTTATTCACGTTTCTAAATATCTTCGTTTTACACAAAAAGATTTTGGAACCACTTTTAGTAAGTAAAAACTAATTACCGTTTCATTATATGGTACTTTGTTTTACATGTAAATTCTAATAGTGTGGTTTTGAATGCATAATAGGTGGTTTCGCCTTTGCTCATAAGGCGAATTCTGAGATAGAGACGAATAATAGATGGTATAATTTTATTTCTTAAGATTAATTATCAAAAGTATAAATAATAATTTATTCTTACCTAACAGGATCGGACGTGAAGGATTACCCAAAACCAATACTGCTCTTCGTTACGACTCGAATGTAATTAGTTCCATGCGTCAGTCATCAATCTTCGAATCTTTAATAACATATAATTGCCCACTCAAATAGTTTGTAGTGACCGCATGGGGTGAACCTGCGCTTGTCGATGGACCAGAAAAGAAAAAGAAATCTAAAGATGCCAACCAAATCTATACCGTAGAAATGTTCAAATTGCATCTCACCGAAATGTCAAAAAAAGCAAAACCTCCGTTACCACCAAACATGTCATTCAAAAGACCGATCAGCGATTATTTGCTTGAGATGGACAAGGTTAATAATAATGCTTTTGGAACATAAAGTTCTTTTTTTGCTGTTTAGTAATATTGGTGTTTGATGTTGGATTGTGAATAAATAAATGTTACGAAATAGCTGATTCAAGAAACGATCGAGAAAACTTGGCCTGGTATAAGGAAAGAGCAAGTTTTGTATGTAATGACAATACCGGCTGAATGGTTTGTATTCTTATACCTCTTAATATTGTTTTGTCGAGTCTAAGAATTTTAACTGATTCCTTTTTGCGGGATTAATAGGCGCGAATATACTAAGGGTATTATGCGAGAATGTGCTCATGAAGCTGGAATTATTAGTTCCGTTGAATCAACGAACTTGGAATTCACGAGTGAACGTATGTCGAGAATTAATAAAGTTTCTTTTTATACGTTAGATTGAGTTTTAATATACCAATTTTTTTTTGATTGTAGCTGAAGCTGCAGCAATGCATTGCTTAAAAGTGATCGAAGAGCATAATTTAAAACCGGGAGGTAATAAATTATCGGATTGGTATTTGTGTTAGAAGATATTAAACTTCTACTAAAGCTACAACAACAATCGAATCAAAGATTCATTCCTTGTTGTTGATTGTGGCGGAGGCACCGTTGATTTAACAACCAGAAGACTCCGCGGTGATGGCTCACTAGACGAGATAACTGAGCGAACTGGAGATTTATGCGGCTCGACGTTTGTTGACCGCGAATTCTTAAAATGGCTCGGTAGGAAATTAGGTGAATCAGCGATGGAAAATGTGAAAAACAATCACTATGGAAACCTTCAATACCTCATCCAGAAGTTCTTTTGCCCACGCGTCAAATTCCTATTTGACGGTGATCCATTAAATTTCAAAAACCAAGATGTCGACATCGAACATTGGTGTCCGGCCTTCTTGAAATACGTCACGGGGGATGCTCGAGAACAAATGGAAGAGGAGGATTGGTTGATCGAGCTTGATTTCAACGCGGTGAAGGAAATGTTTGATCCAGTCGTGAAAAAAGTTTTGAAATTGATTACGGACCAACTGAAAGCTGCAGCGGATGTTCAGCGTCCTTCGGCCATGTTTCTAGTCGGTGGGTTCTCAGAGTCTAAGTATCTCCGAAAAAGGATTAGGGAAGAGTTTCTGAATCAGGTTCCGATTATTGCTGAGCCGCGTCAGCCGATGGCCGCTGTTGTTAAAGGCGCTGTTGCTTATGGTCTGAAAATGGAGACAGTCAATACTAGAGTATTGAAATGGAGTTATGGCATCGAGATATTAGGAAAATGGCAACCAGGCGTTGATCCGAAAAAACGCCGGTACATGTAATATTTTCATATTATCACATTTATTTCCATTGTAAATAACACTTTTCTTTTTTTGCTTTATAGAACTCAAGATGGTCGTATTTATAGATTTAATCGGTTAGCCGAAAGACGAAAACCAGTTGAAGTCAATAAAGAATTTACCGGCGAGTTTAAACCCGTGTATCCGAATCAGACATCAGTCATTTTCAAAGTATTCTACACGAAAAGAAATTGGGTGCGATTTTGTGACGATCCAGGCGTCAGATTTCTGGGTGACTTGAAAATTGGCAAGTTAATGAATATTAACTAAATCGTTTAATTTTCAATGATTTTACTTGGCAATGATGTAATAACATTCATTGCATGAAAACTTTCTAGATTTACCTGATGTGCATCTAGGTATCAATCGACCAATTGAATTTGGACTGACCTTCGGTAAAATGGAATTAAAAGCGACTGCCCGTAATAAAACTACCGGCCAAATTTATCAGACGTCATGGAGATTACGTAATTTTGCGGCATGAAAAGAAATTAATCGATTCGGATATCACTTAAAGATATATTAATAGTCATTTGAGAATATGCGGGGGTTGATTCTTTTCTTTCTTTCGTTTGTTCGCTGTGATACATATCGATATTTTCTTCTTTCTTTTCTTATATTACTACTATGCATGTATTATATACTACGCGCCATTATGTGGTGATCTGGATTATTGACCGGCGGTCATTTCCATATCCCCCAAAAATGGCTGTCATTTTAAAAATGACACACGTGTCGATTATCGAACACAAACGTCCGGCTTAAAAGTCATGGTTATCGTAAATTCCATAAGCTGTGGCTTTTTTTAGTTTTATTAATAAACTGTATCACATTTGTAGCCGAAAGTCAGTTGATCAATGACTGCATTTATAGACAAAAGTTAAAATAGTTTTGACCAGGATATCCCATGCAAGTCTAGCACTGTGGTGTAACAATTGGTACTGGTATGGATGTTACAAATATTAATGCAGTTATCCCCATTCTCATATGTCGTCGAAATTATTTCATCATCGTTCGGAAGTATATCGCGAAAAAAAAAGAAACGCAATACAAAAAGAATTTTTAAATATATCAAGAAAATCATGAGCAGAAGTAATCGAAATACCAATAGTAATAATAGTCAGGCTGCTACCTCAGCTTCATCTTTAACTTCAACCGATTTGATCCAAATCGAGAATAATGATAAGAATAATAAAGAGAATGACGATGATGTCTCAAAGGAAAGGATAATATTGAATGTTGGTGGTATTAAGGTAAGTTATGACAAATGCGAAACTGTCCATTCGTTATTTATGACAAATGTTGTTTAATGCTTATTCATTAATGTCAATAATTTTTAGTATGAAACCTATCGAGCAACATTAACATCCTATCCGAATACTCGTCTTGGAATACTTTTTGATGAGCACAATAAGAATTTCAATCGTCCAACGAGCGGAAGTAACGAGTATTTTATTGATCGTGATGGACACATGTTTCGTTACATTTTACAGTTTTATCGAACTGGGAAGGTGCCGTTACCTAACGATGGTAGGCTAAAGGATTTCTTCTTTTTATCATAAGAAAATAACTCTTTATGCTTTAAATTCAAAACTTTTACAGCAAAAGGACTTATTCCAGTCTCACATGAAGACCTGGAAGCCGAACTGGACTATTTTATGATCCCACGACATCTTGCATTTCCACCCACACCCACACCAACCACCACCAAACCAGCACTAACCTTCCGTCGAAAAATGATAGCCGACGACATCGACAAATTCGTCTCGTCGCTAAAATCAATAATCATGGAAGTTGCGAAACAATTTCGTCGTGAATTTCTTCTGAACCCTGACTTTGAAATGTGCATAGAAATGACGTTTCGCGAAGACGCCAAGATCACCGACCTGAATATCACCCCGAATACCGGAATCAAATCACAAATCAAATCGATCATCGAGCCACACTCGAATGTCGCGTTCCTGATCCTGGATAAATTTGGTCAGGAGATTGGTCACCACTTGGAAACGGTCATTGCTGGATTCACATGGTCATGTGAAGAGAAAGAGGATAGTGGGTGGTGGAATTTTAGCGCAGATAATGGTGTGAACGGATCGGCTGCGACGAAAATGTTTTGTGTCAGGATGAAGTTGAAAGACACTGGATTTGATCATGATGATATTGTAAATAATTCTTGTTTAGCTAGTATTTCTTGTGTATAATCTATGGTTGATATTACAGTTTCGCTAACGTTGTGATCAAGATTTTATTTTCGTGTTCAATTACTCAGTATTCAACATAGAGTGACATTAGTTTTTTTTTTTTTTTTTAGAAAATAAGCTATTTAATTGCTTGCAAAATGTTTCATTTATTTAAAGATATTCTTAAGATTCTTGTGACAAAATAATTTTTATTTGAGAGAAAGTTTCTTCAATTTATAATAAAAATTTGTTTAAATTATTTTTGAAAATTTTGATTATTTGCAGTCAAAACCATTTCTATTCATATGATTTTTGAAAATGCATGCTCAAATAATGTAACTATCTACTTTTAAGAGAAATAAAAGTAATATTATTACTAGATAAAATAATATAGAAAATTAATGTTGAAAATAATAAATAAAATTAAAAATAAAGTATTAAAATAATCGATTAAAAAAAATAAAGAATGATAAGAAATTAAAATAATCAATTAAAAGAAATAAAGAATGATAAGAAATTAAAATGAAATATAAGTTTCAAAATAAATTATTATTCTTGATATAAAGTAAATTAAATTTTAAATTCATAATTATATTTATTTAATTAATTTTTTTTATTAATATTTTAATTTCAAAATATATATAAATTTTTAGATAAAGATTTTCTCAATATATTATTTAATTATTTCTTTAATATTATTTAATTTATTTTTTATTTATAGAAATAACTTACATATTTATAAAATCAAAACATTAATTTTACTAATAAAGTATAGTAAAAGTTGAAATTTTCTTCTATCTATATTAAAGCTTATAATTATATCAAAATAAAATTTATATATTATAATTTAATATATATTATTTTTCAGATTTTCTAGATTATTCTAATTATAAAGTAATTATGAAATTTTTTAATTAAAAAATAAAATTTAATTAGAAAAAAATTTTATAAAAAATTTATAGTTAGAATAATTCTTTCAGAAAACTAAAAAATATATATATTAAATAATAATTAATAAACTTTATTTAATATAAAAATAAAAATTATTTTTTAATAAATTATAAATTTTAATATAGAAAAATAATTTTAATTTTTATTATTAATAAAATTATTTTCTAATTTAATAATTATAGAAATTATTATATATTATTTAATTTATTTTATTTTATTTTATTTTTTAATATTAAGATAAATATAAGTTAATATAAAAAGATTTATATTTCAGATAAATATTAATAGATTATTTTTTTAAAATAAAATTTTAATTTTGTTTTATTTAATTAAATTATTAGATATTGAGATTTATTTAAATATAAAAATTTTTATTATAATAGTTATCATTTATAAATCACATAATCTGAAATTTCAGATATAGATCATTAAATAATTTTATAATAAATTATATAACTATATATTTTTTATTATAATAAATATATATATTATTTATTTTATTTAATTCTAATAATACATATAATGTTAAGACTTATACTTTCTAATAGCATATTCTGCTAACTTATCAGTGATTCTTTTTCTATATAAATTTATATAATATTATACTTTTTTAGTAAATCTTCTTATTATAATTATATTAACAAATTTCAAAATTATAAAAATAATATATTATAAGTCTGATCAAGAATAATCATAATTCTCTTGAATATATCTTTTTGTCATATTCTAGTATTATTTAATATAATTCAGTTTATAATAAAACTTCAGATAAAAAATATATTTATATTTAGCTTCTAGTATAGTTTTTTCTAATATATTTTTTTATAATAAAAAAATCTAATTATAATAAAATAATTTGTTATACATAATAGTTTATTTAATTTATATCATTAATTTTATTTTTGTATAACTTATAGTTAGTACTTAATCTATTTTTTTATAATTTATATTTAATTAATATTTATTTTATTCCCTTAGGCTTATTTTTTTCATTAATTATTGATTGATAATATTTATCTGATCTAAATCTATATTTTGTATTTTCAGTTACTTATCTTTAGATTTTAGATTCATCTAACTTATTATAAATATATCAGATCTATATATTATATAATTTAAACTATTATTAAATATAAATAAGACAATATAGTTTGAAAATATAATTTCAAAGATTAATATAATCTTTATTTTATTTCTTTGACTAAATTCTTATTCATCTAATATTTATCTTAATCTTTTCCTAGTTGAAAATAGACTCAAGCTTCTTCAGCTATAAATAAACTTTCTTGATATTATTATGAATTTAATTTAAGTTGGTCATATTTTTTTATTAAAAATTTATTAATCATAATGAAATATTCATTTTTCTTCTTGTATAATAATAACTCTTTGAATTTTATTTATATTTCTTATTTACTATTATTTAAGTAGAATATACTTTTATCATATATTATAAGAACTATTTTCTTTTTATTTAATTTCAAAATTAGTGATATTCATTCTGTATTCTTCTCTTTATACTTAGTTATATACTTTTTATAACTAAATATTATATTAATAATAATTATTAATATTTTATAATATTATTAAAATACTTATATCTATTATAATATATATCTATTTATTATAATATAAAATTAATTTAATAAATTTTTTTATTTTTTAATAATAAATTTATTCTTATCTTAATTTTGTAATTAAAAAAAATATTTGAGTATATTAATTCAATATATTTTTTTTTAATATTTCTAAATTTACAAGAAGCTTTTCTTTAATAAATTTTAATAGAATAATCATTCTCTTCTAAGATTAGATTTATATATGATATTTTTTTATTATATCTTTATTTATCTATTAATCATATAGTTTTTTAATATTTATCTTGATAACTTATTAATAAATGATTATGTTAAAGTAAATAATTGGTCTAATATTAAATAAATCTTGTTTTATATAATATATTTTTGATAAAAAACAGTTATTCAGTTTTTATACTAGCTCTTTGCTTTACTTTTCTATTATTATTCAATCTATTCAAATATTTAAAAACTATTCTTTTTTATTATATTCAAAAATTATTAATACTATTTACTATTTTTTAAGTTCTTTTTTTAAAATTTCAATTCTTTTATTCAGATTATATTAATTATCTTATTTATCATTTCTAATTTATTTAAAATCTTATTAAAATTATTTGAAATTGAATTTTTAATTAAAAATATTTTATTTTTTTAGTTTCTTTAGTAACTTTTATAAAAGAACTACTGAATTTATATTTATCAAAATAAGTAAATTTTTTATTTTTTCTATAAAATAAGATTCATATTTTTTTCTTTCTAAATATATATTATTTGACCAAACTAATTCAACTTTTTTTTTATTATTATTATTCTAATTATTATTATCATATCAATTATTATTATTATCATCTTTTTAATCATTAATGATTTGTATTTTTTTGTAAACCTTCTATTATTATCTTATTCTTGTTCTTTGACATTAATTTTTCTTTTTGATAGATAGATTATTAATATATAATAATAGATTTAACAAAAAATAAAATAAATAATAATTATTATATGAAAATATATCTAAATTTTATATATAATATACTGATATCTAGTCTGAAATTTATCTTTTTTTATATATATTATATAAGAATTTACTAAATTTAAATTATAATAACTTAAAATTTTACATAATATTTTATAAAAGTATACTGTTACCATAGTGACATAAAATTTCTTAATTCCTTAATTTTTCCCTAGTTATGAAATATTACATTTTATTATAATTTTATTTATTACATAATTATCCTTATTTTCTATATCATTTATTACTATATTTATTATCATGTTTCTATTTTTAACATTATATATTATTTAATATTCGGAATCTACATTTTTATTATTTTGTATTACAATATTCATGTACATAGTAGAATAGTATAGTGGAAGATTATTTTTAATTTTGATGGAACATTTACATTTGGATGACGATCTTAAACATCTTTCCACGTTCTTTGACATCCTTCAACATTCTCTCACATCCTTTTACGTCTTTCCACGTCTTTCAACGTTTTTTCATATCTTTATATGTCTTTTAACATCCTTTCACATACTCTGATATTCTTCAACATTCTTTAACGTTTTTCAACATACTTCAACGTAATCCACTCATAATTATTTATATTATAGTACTTTAATTATATCTTGTATATTAGATAGTATTAGTTAGTAATACT